TATTATTATTATTATTATTATTATTATTATTATTATTTTACTGACACAAAAACACAGTACGACACAGCAAACCAGATATATGTGCTGGATATCGTATCACAAAATCACAAGTCGAACACTTCCCAAGTGTCTAGGACTGTGTGATGTATTTTGAATGATCCATGCAGATCCAAGTTTTGGGGTTTTTTTTGTAGTGTCAGGAGCGACTTGAGAAACTGCAAGTCGCTTCTGGTGTGAGAGAATTGGCCGTCTGCAAGGACGTTGCCCAGGGGACGCCTGGATGATTTGATGTTTTTATCATCCTTGTGGGAGGCTTCTCTCATGTCCCCGCATGAGGAGCTGGAGCTGATAGAGGGAGCTCATCCGCCTCTCCCCGGATTCGAACCTGTGACCTGTCGGTCTTCAGTCCTTCCGGCACAGGGGTTTAACCCACTGCGCCACCAGTGGTTAGGGTACTTTCATAGGATGGCAACATCCTTTGGAATCATGGGCTCTCTAGTCCAATTAGAAATCTCAGTTAGAAAACTCCAGGGGATCACCAGACTACTAACAGGGGTTTAACCCACTGCGCCACCGGATCCAAGTAAGGTGGCCTTTTGCAGTTATTTATTTATTTAGGTGGAATCTCATTTCCTACAATTTTAATCAAGTGTGTTTCTACAGCATTAAAACAATGCAGTTTGGCACCAGTTTAAATGCCACAGCTCAATCTTATGGCATCCTGGCAGTTGTAGTTTTACCAGGTCTTTAGCCTTCTCTGGGAAAGAATGCTGTTGCCTCACCAAACTATATCTCCCAGGATTCCATAGCTTTTAGCAGTTAAAGTGGTGCCAAACTGCATTAATTTTACAATGTAGCTGCATCCCTCATAGCAATCCTCCCTGAAATAAGGATGCATGGTCCCCAGCTCAGTCAGGTTGCTTTAGTACTTGAACAGGAAAAAATCACAAGGACATCTATTTGGTGATACTAAAATAATAACAGTTAATTTCAGAACTAAAAGCATTGTCCTATTTTCTGTCCTGCTTTCACAAGATTCACTCTTCAGAGGATTGGATGGTCAAGTCATGTCATAACTCTGCTGCATTTTCTCAAGCAAACACAACATGTGTGTGTACTATGCTAGAAAGTTGTGGTTAGCTTTGGTAAGATCTTCTGAAGAAGCATTTGTTTCCTTTCCTAAGCTTGCAGTGATGAAATCATTTCAAAACAGCATCTTCTGCTGACTGTAAAATAAAGCAGATAGACAGACAGCCATCCAGATTGGAAGCGAAACAAGGTGGAGTGCACTCAAGGTAAGAAACTGTATAATCTTTGAGGGACAACTCTACACAAAGAATAGGAAATTCTTCCTCCCCATATGTATATTATTCAATGGGCATTAGCTTTGTGTGATTTCGAATATAACTACAAGCTACAAAAGTGAATTAAGCTGGGTTTTAGGATATTGATTTTATTAACTTTGATCAATTAATTGATTGATTAAATTTGTTAATTATTATTATTATTCATGTCAGGAGCGACTTGAGAAACTGCAAGTCGCTTCTGGTGTAAGAATTGTCCATCTGCAAGGACGTTGCTCAGGAGACGGCCAGATGTTTTACCATCCTTTGATAATGAGTTAGAGCAATAGTTATGCAGCAGAAAGCATATAATAAAAATTTAAAAATAACACATGCAAATGGTATTCTAGACCTGACCTTCTTTCATTTTTTTCCACCTGCGACCCCTTTTCGTCTGTGAAATTTTTACATTATTCCAAATACATAGGTATGTATAAAAGAGATATATAAATCAAACTTTATGGATAATAAATTAGCAATTGCAAGGCGTGCTAAACAGGCTGATTTTCACTTTTTTGTAGAGAATGGCTGAAGCATTTTCTACAGAGTCTACTGTAAACACTGTATCTTGTTTCTAACAATTTGTATAAATGTGTGGCTTTCAGAAACGTTTCATTGTTGCTAAACTTTGTGCCTCCTGCATTGAGCTAAGGGGACCCCATTTGGAGTTTGGGACCCACAGTTTAAATAGTAGCGTGTTAGACGACTTAGAAGATAACTTCCCTTATGGTAACACTTCCTTTAACTCATGAGTTATTGCTCATTGCAGATTTTTTTAAATGTGGTCCTTATTCTAATGTGTAATATACTAGAGACATTTTGTACAGTAGGAAAATGAAATTTTCAGTAGGAAATAATAGTTTGTTCAATTGGCAAGATGAGCTTTAATCATGAACATGAGAGAAAGATAAAAGGACATTTAAAATATAGTGTTTTCTTTCAGTGTTTATGCCTTACAGCAGCATTTCTCAACCTGGGGGTCGGGACCCCTGGGGGGGGGTCACGAGAGGGTGTCAGGGGGGTCGCCAAAGACCATCAGAAAACACAGTATTTTCTGTTGGTCTTGGGTTCTGTTTGAGAAGTTTGGCCCAATTCTATACTTCGTAGAGTTCAGATTGCTCTTTGATTGAAGGTGAACTATAAATCCCAGCAACTACAACTCCCAAATGTCAAGGTCTATTTTCCACAAACTCCACCAGTGTTCACATTTGGGCATATTGAGTATTCATGCAAAGTTTGGTCCAGATCCATCATTGTTTGAGTCCACAGTGCTCTCTGGATGTAGGTGAACTACAACTCCAAAACTCAAGGTCAATGCCCACTAAACCCTTCCAGTATTTTCTGGTCCTGGGGTTCTGTGTGAGAAGTTTGGTCCAATTCTGTCGTTGGTGGGGTTCAGAATGCTCTTTGATAGTAGGTGAACTATAAATCCCAGCAACTACAACTCCCAAATGCCAAGGTCTATTTTCCCCAAACTCCACTGGTGTTCACATTTGGGCATATTGAGTATTCGTGCCAAGTTTGCTCCAGATCCATCATTGTTTGAGTCCACATTGCTCTCTGGGTGTAGATGAACTACAACTCCAAAACTTAAGGTCAATGTCCTCCAAACCCTTCCAGTATTTTTTGTTGGTCATGGGAGTTCTGTGTGCCATGTTTGATTGAGTTCCATCATTGGTGGAGTTCAGAATGCTCTTTGATCGTAAGTGAACTATAAATCCCATTTTGTCCCAAATGACAAAATCAATAATTTCATAGGGTTTTCTTAGACAAGAAATACTCAAGAGGAAATTTCGCCAGTTCCTTCCTGAGAACTACAGCCACTGAATTCTGTAGGACTTATTTCCAAAGCTGAAAATCAAGGCTGCACGTATCTACGAACAAATCAAATTGGTGAGTATGCAATATTAAGAGAAAAAAGGAAACCGCTATCAAATTCATAGTGGAATAATTATTGTGTTCCTATAATACTGTGGTTCTTAACCTGTGGGCCACGGACCACCAGTGGGCCGTGAGGAAGAAAATCTGCTCTGCGAGCCTTCGTTTATTTATTTATTTATTTATTTTATTTCTGCTCCTTTCAGGCCACCTGTCACTCCTTCCCTGTCGCTGGCCATGACGTATGTTCTAGATCTGAAACTAGAGCTGATGTGGTCTATCCAATGAAATTTTCTGAATCAGCACCCCAAACCGAATCTAAAGTTGACCAAAAACTGATTCATAACTCTTTTGGTACTAATGTTGGAGAGTGGTCTCTGGTCAAAGTGATCCCTGGTTAAAGTGATCCCTGATCAAGTGGTACCTGGGCATAGTGGTCCCTGATCAAGAGGCTCCTGGTCAAAGTGGTCCCTGGTCAAAGCGGTCCCTGGTCAAGTGGTCCCTGGTCAAAGGGGTCCCTGATCAGGAGGTTCCTGATCAAAGTGGTCCCTGGTCAAGAGGTTCCAGGTCAAAGTGGTCCCTGGTCAAGAGGTTCCTAGTCAAAGCAATCCCTGGTCAAAGTGGTCCCTGATCAAGTGGTCCCTGGTCAAAGTGGTCCCTGGCCAAAGTGGTCCCTGGTCAAGTGGTCCCTGGTCAAAGTGGTCCCTGGTCAAAGTGGTCCCTGTTCATAGTGGTCCCTGGTCAAAGTGATCCCTGGTCAAAGTGGTCCCTGGTCAAGTGGTCCCTGGTCAAAGTGGTCCCTGGTCAAGAAGTTCCTGGTCCAAGTGGTCCCTGGTCAAAGTGGTCCCTGGTCAAGAGATTCCTGGTCAAAGTGGTCCCTGGTCAAGTGGTCCCTGGTCATAGTGATCCCTACTCAAAGTGGTCCCTGGTCAAGAGATTCCTGGTGAAAAAACGGTTGGGAACTAGGGTTCATATACAGAGCTATAATGGATAATTGTTGCCGATAAGTAAACAACTGTTTCTACATGAAAAAGTTCTAAGCCACAAATTGCCACAAAATAAAGAGCACCATTTTCTCCAGGTCATAAAAAAAACATGTTTGTCACTTTGCTGTTGATTCTAATGTAAACAGGATACCAACCCATGTCTTTTTGATAAAAAAGGTGTACTGTGTATTTGAAAAAAATTCTCCCAAAAAACAATCTGTTTTTCTGTTTCCCGTTTTCAGACTTTATCCCTAGTCTTCAGGAAAGATGTGCTGACATGCCATCATTTGGATTTAAACCCAGAAATACAGAAGGAACTGCTGTATTTGTGACAGCTAAGTGAAAGCTTTTTGGAAGGAGATAAAAGCTGTTTTTTTTTCTAAACGCAGGATATTATACTGCGGTCTGTGGTATGTACAAACTTCCTATTTTTGGCACTGTTGACAGGTGTTTGCATTGCTCAGTAATAAAACAACAAATGTGTGGATCAGTTGTGGGAACCACTTAACATCAGAAACTGACAGTAATTGCAATGTATTTTAAATGTACTCTTTAAAAAACATATATTCTATAAAGCAGCCATTGACTATTGCAAGCTACCTATAGGCCTCATCTTCACTGTCAGTGTAGACTGATATAATGCAATTTTATATGTAAATAGGGCCTCAGTTCAACCAATGGGCCCTTCACTCTTTGTTTTAGTCATTTTGATAATAAAAGCACTTTGCCGTAAAAACAAAAGGGAGATGTTGGCAAGCTGGAATGTGTCCAGAGGAGGGTGACAAAAATTACCAAGGGTCTGGAGAACAAGCCCTATGAGGAGTGGCTTAAAGAGCTGTGGATGTTTAGCCTGAAGTAGAGAAGGCTGAGAGGAGACATGATAACCATGTGTAAGTATGTGAGATGAAGTCATAGGGAAGAGGGAGACTAGGACGTGGAACAATGGTTTCAAACTACAAGAAAGGAGATTCCATCTGAACATTAGAAATAACTTCCTGACTGTGAGAGCCATTCAGCAGTGGTACTCTCTGCCCCTGAGTGTGGTGGAGGCTCCTTCTTTGGAAGCTTTTAAACAGAGGCTGGATGGCCATCTGTTGGGGGTGTTTTGAATGCAATTTTCTTGCTTCTTGGCAGGGGGTTGGACTGGATGGCCCAGGGTCTCTTCCAACTCTATGATTCTAAGGCATTCCACAATTGGAGCGCCGCAGCAAAGCACAAGCCATTATTTGCATGAAAACACACACACTGCTCTTTTGCTACTGCCAAAAATCATACAGCAATGGCAGAACAAGACAGGATCAACAATACCTTAAACTGAGTTCAAACTTTCCATATTGCCACTTCTTTAGGGATATGGCAGAATCACTTGTAGAAGCAACATTTAGTCTAGTCACATAGATTGAAGCCTTCATTTCTCTTAGTAAAATTGCTTACATGCAAAAAAAAAAAAGTACGGGAAATTTGGACCTTTACGAATTTTTGTAAAAGAGCAGATTTCAGCATGTATAGTACAATTTGTAACATAAATCTAAAAGACTGGAAGGAGCAAGTGTGTGAGATGCTTATTAATGGATGTCGTTTGTTTCACCATTTTCTGATACGTACCTTTAATCTCCATTAGTTTTGAAATTTTTTCAGGGAAAACCTTTCTGTCCTCTTGCGCTCAGAGGCATAATTCATGGGGACGTGAGAGAGAATCTTGGCTGCTGTCAGGCTTAACTACCAGGGGATTCCATTATTGATGCTACTTCCCACACAGAAAAAATTGGTTGAGTCCATCTACACTGTATTATTGTAGTTTCATACCACTTTAACTGCCATGGACCAATGCTATGGAATTATGGAAGTTGTGGTATTATAAAGTCTTTAATCTACTCTGCCAGAAAGTGCTGGGCCTTATGATTCCATAAAAGTAAAGGTAAAGATTGTCCTCTGGCATTAAGTCCAGTCATGTCTGAGTCTGGGGGTTGGTGCTTATCTCCATTTCTAAGCCGAAGAGTTGGCGTTGTCCATAGACACCTCCAAGGTCATGTGGCCAGCATGACCTGCATGGAGCGTCGTTACTTGATCTACTCACATTTACATGTTTTCGAACTGCTAGGTTGGCAGAAGCTAGGGCTGACAGCGGAAGCTCACGCCGCTCCCCGGAATCGAACCTGCAACCTTTCAGTCAACAAGCTCAGCAGCTCAGCAGCTCAGCGCTTTGACCCACTGCGCCACCGGGGGCTCCTATGATTCCATAACATAATAATAATAATAATAATAATAATAATAATAATAATAATAATAATTTATTCATTGCCCGCCACCATCTCCCCAAGGGGACTCGGGGCAGCTTACATGAACCCAAGCCCAAAGTACAGCAATGCAAATAAAGAACATACAACAACAGTAAAATATAAAAATAACAATAAAATACAAAAACCAATATAAATAAGCACATCAAACAATATAAAATCACAATAATTAAACACAGAAAATAAATAACATGGAGCCATAGCAGTTAAAGTGGTATCAAAACACACTGATTCTATTGTGTACATGCACCTCTCTTCTTGTACATCTGGCCACTTTAACTAAAGATTACCTTGGAGTATGAAATTAGCAGTGATGTGTTTGTACAATCCAGGGTAGGAATCATATGGCCCTCCAGAAGCTATTGGACTGCAATTTCCATTGCCTCAATGCAGCACAGCAACTGTAAGTTGTAGCCCAACAAACATTTGACGGCCCCAAAGCCCATAGGAGCCCCCGGTGACGCAGTGGGTTAAACCACTGAGCTTGTTAACTGAAAGGTTGCAGGTTCAAATCCTATTGGATAGCCTATGAGTTTATGTATGTGCCTTTAAGTGACCTTTCTGTTTACTGTGGCCCTATGAGTTTCAAAAGGTCTTCTTAGGGAAGGAATACTCCAAAATAATTTTGATAGTTCCTTCTTCTGAATATAGCTCACAGCACCTCGAACTCATTTATAGTATCCCATCCAAGTGCTAGCTAGGGCTAGCTCTGCTTCCAAGAACAGGTAGGATAGTGTTAGTTAGGCGATCCTTCGTTGTCCAAATAGGATTGTTTTCCAAGATCGGTATACTGGCAGTTGGTCCATAGGTGACTGTGGAGCCCTATTCTTGACCTGTATGTTCTCCCACAGTGAGGGCATTGGTTTCCAGGTGGAAGGTGGTCCCGGTTGGGGTTGGCTTGATGCGCATTTCTCTCTTTCGCCCTCCGTTCGTGCCTCTTCAAATTATACAGCACTGCTGGTCACAGCTGACCTCCAGTTGGAGCACTCAAGGGCCAGGGCTTCCCAGTTCTCAGTGTCTATGCCAGAGTTTTTAAGTTTGGCTTTGAGCCCATCTTTAAATCTCATTCCGTTTTCCGTTCTTGAGTTCGGAGTAGAACAACTGCTTTGGGGGACGGTGGTCGGGCATCCAGACAACGTGGCCGATTCAGCGGAGTTGATGGTGGAAGACCATTGCTTCAGTACTGGTGGTCTTTGCTTCTTCCAGCATGCTGACATTTGTCCGCTTGTCTCCCAAGAGATCTGTAGGAGTTTTTGGAGGCAACGCTGATGGAATCATTCTAGGAGTAGCATGTGACGTCTGTAGATAGTCCACGTCTCGGAGATGGGATTTAGTGTCTTTAAGGTACTTCCATTGAAATAAGAATCCCTTTCACTTGTCAGTGTTCCTCTCCCTATGAAATAATCATAGAATATAAAGAGCAGGGAGAAGGAGAGGGAAAAGGAGAAGGAGAAAACACAACGTTCACATGCAGAGGTTATCCCTAGGTTAGAAACAGAAATATCATCTGTTCCATAAGAAGGGTGTGGGGAAGAAATGGGTAAGATGAAAGCAAGTTGAGCGTGCATGGGTCTTCCCACAAAGGTTCCCACAAAGTCATGCAATTGCAGGCTTCTGCAGCATTACCACATTGCCATCCTGAAGCTAGTTTCTCATTGCTACATTAGGGGCTGGGTGGGATGCCACATCCTGTGCTTGATGTGCCGAAATAACATTTGTTCTGGCCAAGCAGATAACAATCTGACATTTTTAGATAAAGGCTAGTGTTCAGGTGGTTAGAGGGCAATATATTGCCTGGTTTCAAGTCGGAAACTAATGGCACCATCAATATCTGAACACAGAGGTTTCATTATTACAGCAGGGAGTTGGGATGGGAGCTGCAATCTGAACAAACTTCTAAGAAGTGTTTTCTTTGGTCTCTGGGACCCGAGTCTGAATTTACACGTTATTACATTCAGTGCAGAGGCATACAGGCACTATACTTTTAATGCCTCCCTTCTTCTAGCCTTCTCTGTAACATTGGGGGTGGGAAATTAGTTGATTTGCCTTCAATGTGAATTAAATCTGGAAGTAATCCTACTGATTTCCCATCCAACCAGGAAAAACAGAGAAGAATATGTGCAAGAGGTTGCACTACCTCTATGGCAGTGGTTCTCAACCTGTGGGTCCCCAGATATTTTGGCCTTCAACTCCCAGAAATCCTAACAGCTGGCAAATTGGCTGGGATTTCTGGGATTTGTAGGCCAAAACATCTGGGGAACCACAGGTTGAGAACCACTGCTCTATGACACAATGGGGCATCTCCTTTTTTAATTATTATGTATAGAATTTCCTATGTCCACATAAGAAATAAATAAATGCGGTAGCTCAGACATCTTATGCCACAAATGCCTTCGACCAGTATCTTAGAATCATAGAATCATAGTGTTGGAAGAGACCTCATGGGCCATCCAGTCCAACCCCCTGCCAAGAAGCAAGAATATTGCATTCAAAGCACCCCAGACAGATGGCCATCCAGCCTCTGTTTAAAAGCTTCAAAAGAGGGAGCCTTCATCACACTCCAGGGCAGAGAGTTCCACTGCTGAACGGCTCTCACAGTCAGGAAGTTCTTCCTCATGTTCAGATGGAATCTCCTCTCTTGTAGTTTGAAGCCATTGTTCCATGTCCTAGTCTCCAGGGAAGCAGAAAACAAGCTTGCTCCCTCCTCCCTGTGGCTTCCTCTCACATACTTATACATGGCTATCATACCTCCCCTCAGCCTTCTCTTCTTCAAGCTAAGCATGCCCAGCTCCTTAAGCCGCTCCTCATAGGGTTTGTTCTCCAGATCCTTGATCATTTTAGTCGCCTTCCCCTGGACACATTCCAGATTGTCAATATCTCTCTTCGATTGTGGTGCCCAGAATTGGACACAATATTCCAGGTGTGGTCTAACCAAGGCGGAATAGAGGAGTATCATGCAAACAATGCAAATATAGAAGCCTTTTAAAATACAGTGATTTGAATGGAAGAATGAAACATATGCTTCCACCTGTAATCCTATTCCCCATCACCTAAGAATATAACCCACTTAATGCACACAAAATTCCTTTGCCCGTGTACAAAAAAGAATTACA